TATAAGAGGGTGAATTGGACATTTTGAAATGTTAAGGAGGTTATGTTGCAATAGATGAACCTATAGGGGGGTATTTGTAATTAAACCCAATTTTTCCAATCTATTTGTTAGATGTCAACCTTGTCTTGAAACCTTTTTGTTACTTGCATCTATGTTTGTTAAGTTTCAAGAAAGATAGAACCCCATTGGCTTTAAATCTGTTACATTTTAAATTTCATGAAACACATGTAGTTTTTTTTTTTCATGATCTTAGTTTTAGCTTTTCGTTTAATGCATATAGATTATCATTGTGTATCCCAATTCGCCAAATGCTGTAAATTTTAATAGAGGCAAAATGAATAAGAATTTGTTGCACTTGGTTGGTATCAAAATTCACATTTTCTCATAGGAGACTGTTCTTAAGACTGTCAATGGGGTCAGATCAGCTCGAACTCGGCTCATTCGGCTTGAGAAAGAACCCAATGAGCCCGACCTTTTAGTGAGCTGGTTTGAGATTGAGCCTAAAAATTAGACTTGAATTAAATATGAGCTGAGTTTGGACCTCGTTAGGTTTAAATCCAATATAGGCCCAACTCTTAAATTACCTATATATATAATGATATCTATATAGATATAATATTTATATTTTGATATTATATATAATTATATATCCAAATATATTATTACAAATACTAAATATATAGAAATTACAAAACACAAAAATACATTTGAAGACTCTTCTACTAGTTTTCTTGAGAGCCAATATTGGTAATGCATAATAGACATTTTAACTTTTTTTATTGGTTGAGTAAATTTTTGTGTTGGCATAATATTAGTTGATTTTTTTTTTATCTAGAAACACAAATTATCAGACATGTTTGGATTCAAATCACAAAGTTACGAAGAAGTTCCAACCTTTGAAGATGTATTGGCTTATGACCGCATAGTTTATTAACATTTTTTTATGTGTTTTGAACGAATTAGATATAAATATTGTTGAAAAATTGTTGATTTATGTATTTTTTAAGACCTATTACTTGTTCATGTTTAGTTTTAATGTTGTAGCTTCGTGACTGTTAAATTAGTTTTACAACTCTATAGTTATAATAATTATATTAAGAAAATTGAGAAGCAATAAGTGAGTTTGAGCTAAACTCGAATAAGATTCAAAACTCGAATATTTTGTGAATTGAATATGATCATCACATTTATTAACTCGAAACTCACGGCTCACAACCCAAATGTTCTTGTGAATACTGCATAGAAAATTTCTGAAGAATCTTTAGATAAAAATTCTTCCTATTTGAAGATGTAAAAGAGAATTTGTAGAAGCAAAATAAAAGTCAACCTCTTACACACGCTCTAGTGTTTTCTACCATGAACCAACCATTGCCTTGTACAATAACTAGTGCCAAAGTTAGGATTTTTTGGTTAAGCGGCAGACCTATATGTGTATAAAAAAAAATCATATTTTTATGAGTGTTTTTAAATTGTGGCTTGTTGATAAGTGAATATTTTACATGTGTTTCATAGGATTACAGGTAAGTTTTTGTCGTGTTTTTAGAGGTTCATAGCCATTTTTAAGTTTCTTTAGGTGAAAATTTCTTCAAGTGTTGTTTAGTGAACTAAATGTGCAAAATGAGTGGATTAATGCATAAGTGTGTGGTGTTTGTAAGTTATTGGCGCATGAAACACTCGTTTGAGTTGAAGAAGATGCAATGTACTTTTTGGAGGATAGCGCATAAGTGAAACAAGAAGAGAAAGTTGCGTAAAAAAGGAAGAAAATTGAGGTTGGAAACAAGGGAGCTGGATCTGAGTTCAGATCCATCCCATTCATCTTAGATCCGAAACCTCACCTGAGAATTTGGAGGAGCAGATCCGAGGGCAAGGGGTCCGAGCTCAGATCTCTATGAGAGAGGCCTCGGATCTTCCTTGCAAAACAAGGGAAAGAAATTGAAGAACTTCATATCAGAGCTCGGATTAGTATGGTACCCCTTAGATCCTAGGGCTCAGATCTACCTCACCTCTCTCCTCTGCAATTTGTAGAACAACTTGTACACATTTCACACTTATATTTTGACTCTTGTCTCACAATAAATTTCAGCTGGAAAGCTGGCAAAGCATCTTGTACACTTAAAGAAGGAATATTGGAGATTCCAAAGGGGGGCATTTTTGGGAAGGAAAAGTAAAAGAAACAGGGAGAATAAGTAAAAAGGGCAATCACAGAAGGAAAAAAAAAGGAGAGAAGAAAAAAAAAAGAGAGTTCTTTTCAAGTTTTCTCTCTAGTTTTAGTTTTTAGTCTAGTTTTCTTATTTCTTTGGAGAAACTTGAAGAACACTTGATGTAATCAAATATTTGGATAACTATGAAGTTGATGAAGTTTGGAGATCTTGTTTCTTCACTTGATGAGCAACTCTTCCCCTCTTTTGTCTTTATTTGCTTGAAAGATGTTTGGTTTCATAGAAGTTATGAGCTTTATTGTGAAATACACTATGTGTAACTAGATCTTCTTGTTCTAGAGGTAGATGAAGTTATTTATGCTTTGATTATGGTTAGATTTAGTTGATTATTGTTATATCTTGTACTTGCTAGTACATTTATGAATGTTTTAATACTTGTTAATGTTTGATCATCATTAGCAAGCCATTTAGTTATTGTTAATTTATGAAAATAGTTGACAATGATAGAAAATGAATGAGTGGAACTTAAGAAGTAGGCACATGAAAGTAGTGATACACTTAGGTGAATTTGTTGATATGACACATTTTTGTCATTTATTTTATAATTAATTCCCTCCTATCATCTTACCAAATGCGTATTAATTGGCGGATTCTATTCACTTTTGAAAATTCGTATTGATTGCAGGGAGCTGGAACAAAATGTGGTAAAAAGGTGCAAATTTCCCAATACAATTGCTATTAGCGTAGGCGTGTCAAGTCAGGTCTTAACGTGTCCAAAAAATGCGGGACAGGCGCGTGACTCCAATTGCCAATTGGAAGTGCAGCATGGGGCTGCAAATATTCCATTAGTTGATTATTAGTTTTGAATGGAAAAAGGTAGTTTAGCAAAAGAAGGAAACGAACCAATTAGGAAATTTCCTACTTTTGTGGCTTCGGTTGAATAGGAGATAGAAGTCAATTGAGAGTAGGATTCCTTTTTCCTTTTACTGATTGGTAGTAGCCGTATAGGGACAGACGATTTGGTAGGGAATTAGATAGGAAAAGTAGCATACTATCTTGACTGCTTTTGCTCTTGACTTTTTCGTTTCATTCATGTGGTTCTTTTTCCTTGGTATGTCAGAACCAATTAGAAACAATTAGTCATCTTTTGACTTCGTAGTTTTTGACATTATTCTTATTCAATCGAATTGAATCATCTCAATTGAGAGACGATGTACGCGGCAATTGCTTCTACAATTTTGCGTGGATTTTTCTCAACGGAGATGAACTAAGTCTATACTTCTAGTCAAGGAACAACGGAGGATTTGGTTCGACTTAAATTGTGAGACCTAACTGATTTTAGTTTTCCTATTATTGTCTGGTATTCATATATTTTCTGCTTTATTTTCTTATGGTTGTTGTATTATTTAATTGTCCCGGATCCGGATGTTAGATTAATTCAATAACCTAGAGCCAATTAGAACAATTAAATCTGTAATTGTTTGATTATTCTAAATTAGTGACAACTGGTATAATCGGGGTTATGTCAGAGAAATATACGGGCTAATTTGTAAACAACCCTCGTAGCGTGCTGTTGGGTTAGAATAGGGTTTCTCTTAATCGTAAAACAATTGTGAAATTTAATTCTACGGTCGAATCTAGGATTATTTTACAATTAGGGCAATAGCTAACGGTCGTACCTTAGCTATCGATAATTACAGAGAAATTGATTGTCATCGCTCGTTTGACAATTATAACTTGTTTATCAGTTTATATGAGAAATTATTCTTGCATCGATGATCAATTAGAAGAACCATTTCCGAAGTTGCTTCTTGACTGGAGCTGCCCAATACTATTTGAGTTTTTACAGTCTGCCATTTAATTTTTATTTAATTGCAATATTCGATTAGCATAGTTTATTAGTAATTTCTATAAAATTCCCCCATAACTCGAACTTTAGTAGAAACAAATTACTCCCAATCCCTGTGGATTCGACCCTACTTGCCCTGTATACAAATTAACAAGTTTTCGCGAATAAATTCTGGTATATCAGATTAAACAAACTCTTCGGAGTCAGGGTGAATCTAGTAATCCATTGCACATCCAGAATACCTGCTCAAGTACTAGAATTAACTAGAAACTGCTTTTGTTGGCAACTAGGATTTTCATTATTATTATTGCACAGACATCGACAACCTGTCAATTTTTGACGCCGTTGCCGAGGACTGGCGTTAGTCAATTTGTTTCTTTTTAAGTTCATTTTTATCTTAATTTTCTGGTATTTTTCTAGTTTATGCCTCGATCCTTTCGTACAGGCAAATTAATTTTTGACTCTGAAGTAGAGAAGACTGCACGTAGAATGAGAAAAGAGACCAAACAGCTAAGAGAAGAGCAATCTAGTGCTGCATCTCTGAGATTTGATCCGGAGTTGAATCGACAAGTTCACTTGGCGATACTTCGAGTGACCCAGACCGAGAAGAAGTCATTGTAGCTAATGCACAGACGTTAAGGGAGTTGGCTGCTCCTAATTTAAATCAGCAGCCCTTATGTATTACTTTTTCACATTTAAATGATAATAACACCCCATTTGAGTTGAAATCTGGCCTAATTCATTTTTTATCATCCTTTCATGATTTGCTAGGTGAGGTGCCTCATAAGCACTTGCAAGAGTTCGATATTGTTTACAATAGTATAAAGCCCCCAGGAGTTACGGAAGAACAGATAAAAATGAAGGTATTTCCTTTCTTTCTCAAAGACTCAGCAAAAGACTGGCTTTACTACCTACCTCCAGGTAGTATCACCACTTGGGAGCATCTGAAGAAAAAATTCTTGGAAAAGTATTTTCCGACATCTCGAATTGCAAGTCTAAGAAAGGAGATATGTGGTATCAAACAGCATCCAGGAGAGTTGCTCTACAATTACTGGGAGCAATTCAAGAAGTTATGCATCAAGTGTCCTCAACACCAAATAAGTGAGCAATTGCTCATCCAATATTTTTACGAGGGGCTACTTTTCAGAGAGAGGAGTATAATTGACGCTGCAAGTAGAGGGGCATTGGGGAACAAGACTCCTCGAGAAGGATGGGAGTTGATCGAAGGGATGGCTGAGAATTCACAGCAGTTCAGTACGAGGGAGGATGTCCCGATACGCAGAGTGAATGAGGTAGAGACATCCTATATCCAACAGCAGTTGACTGAGTTAACATCCTTTATTAGGCAATTGGCTGTAGAAAATGCACCACAAGCCAAGGTGTGTGGAATTTGAACTACCATGGGTAATTCTACAGAGATGTGTCCGATGATTCAAGAAGAGAGTGCAGAGCAAGTAAACATGGCTAGTCATGCGCCCGCTCTAAGAATGCCATATGATCTGTATTCAAACACGTACAATTCAGCCTTGAGGGATCACCCTTACCTCAGCTATGGGGGAAACAGACAATCAAATTTCACACCGAATAGACAACAAGGGTATCAACAGTAATACCAGCCTAGGGAACCACCATCTCCTCCAAGCTCAGGCCCCTTTTTGGAAGAAATGATGAAACAATTAATTGCTAGTCAACAAAAGACGGAATCTAACCTACAAAATATAAGGAATCAAATGGGTCAGATGCAAGCAATGCAAAGTCTGATGAGTCAGATGGCAATAGCAATCAACCGCTTGGAATCCCACGTTCACGGAAAGTTGCCGTCTCAACCTGAACTGAACCCGAAGAACGTAAGTGTAATGACCTTAAGGAGCGGAAAGGAAATTCAGAGACCCAAACTCGTGACTCCAAAGGATAAGGATGAAAAAAAGATCGAGAAAGAGTTTGAGGAGGAGGATAAGGGCAGCAAAAAGCCAATGGTACTCCCTCAATCATTGAGGTTAGAACTAACTCACCGCCTTTTTCGAACAGGTTAGAGAAATCAAAGAAACAAGCTAAGGAAAAAGGAGATTTTAGAGGTGTTTCGAAAGGTGACAATCAATATTCCTTTGTTGGACGAAATTAGACAAGTACCGGAATATGCTAAATTCTTGAAAAACTTGTGCGTCAACAAGAAGAAGTTGAGGGGGGATGAGCAGATTGTGGTAGGTGAGAACGTTTCAGCAATTTTACAAAGGAAACTACCACCTAAATGTAGGGATCCGGGTATGTTTACTATCCTTTGTAAGATTGGATATTCTAATATAAAAAATGCCATGCTAGATTTAGGGGTTTCTATTAACGTGATGCCTAAATCAATTTATGATTCCCTAAATTTAGAACCTTTGAAAGAAATAGGGATAATAATTCAATTGGCTGATCATACATTTGTTTATCCGGATGGGGTAATTGAGGATGTTTTAGTGCAAGTAGATGGATTAATTTTTCCTGCTGATTTTTATGTGCTTTATATGGATGATAAAAGTGCTTCAAATCCATCATCTATTATATCAGGGGGGCCCTTCTTAAGTACTGCCCAAACTAAGATTAATGTCAGTAAGGGTACTCTCACAATGGAATTTGATGAAAAAATAGTCCACTTTAATATTTTTAATACAATGAAACATCCTATTAACTCTCATTCTGTGTTTGCCATTCATGCTACTAACCCTTCTATGGCAAAATTTTCTGAATTTGATTGTAGGGGTAAATGCAAATTTGCTGCAAACAAGTATCATGGGATGAAAGTAATTTGTGAGGTAAAAATGAGTAGAAAATTAAAGAAAATGGTTGCACTCAATAGCTATTTGGATCTTGGAGGAATGCCACCGATTGCAAGAGAATTTGTATTACATCCAGATTGAGAAATGGTGCTTAACATCTAGTGAAAAACGTTAAAGAAAGGCACTTATTGCGTGACAACCCAATTTCTTTTAGTTGTTTGTTCAGTTTTATTTGATAGCTTCAATATGATTTCATAGAGTTTGCAAGATTTCTGGTTTAATTTTTCATTTTTTTTGATGATTAGTAGGTATCCCCCTGACATGATGCGCCCGCGTCAATAGGGCGCGTGGTAATGAGTAATTTTCAGGTGCTTCGTCAGAAAGGTTTCCCCCTCGTTACGTGCCCGTGTCTAGTTGTTTGGAAAGCTCTTCTTTCGATCCTGGAGCGGACTGACCGACATGACGCGTCCGCGTCAACCGGGCGCATGGTAACTTTTAATTCAAAAACTCTTCATCAGAAGGGTTCTGACTGTCATGACGAGCCTGCGTCACTAGGGCGCGTGATAATAAACAATCCTCAGAGTCTTCATCAGAAGGGTTTCCACCCTGACGGCGCGCCCGCGTTAACTGGGCATGTGGTAATTTTGAACTCAACGGACATTCATCAGAAGGGTTATTGACTTCTTGACGTGCCCACATCATGTTCGAGGGAAAGATATGTATTTTTTTTAAAAAAAAAATTTTAAAAACTTTTTTCATTTCACCTTAAAATTTAATTTTTAAATGTCAAATTTTAAAATCTGAATTCAAAATAAAAAAAAACCAAAACTTTTTTTTTCTTCTTCATTCTTTGTTCCTTTCCTTTTCTTTCTTTCTCTTTTCTTCCTTTCTTTCTCCCCTATTTCCTCTGGTTCTCTCTCGACCGAAACCCACAGAGTGCCGCCCATCTTCTCGCGCTGCCACTTCCTCACTCACTCACTCACTTTCTCTGACGAACCACGCCTGCCACCACCAAGTCTGTCGTCGCGCACCGCCATCCGTCACTCCCCTCGTTGCGAGCCGCCACATCCCTTTCTCTCGCAGCGTCCTAAGCACACCACCAACGAATCCTCGCCGCTCCTCGCCCTCTTCACTCGACCGTCGTTCCCACCTATCCTATAGCCGATTGGGACACTCCACCACGCATTCGGGGAAGTTTCATTGTCCGTTTTACTTTATTTGTTCTATTGCGTCCATTGAGGACAATATCAGATTTAGGTGTGGAAGGGGAGGAAGAGCTGTGGTACAGCTAGTATTTTTAATTTTTAGTTTTTAGATGTTTTTCGTTTATTTCTTGTTATTTGTTATGTTTTTCTTTTATTTTCTTTTTACTTTTATTAGTGATAAGCACTTCTGTGACTATCAAGGATTGATGATGATTGTTGACTCTAATTCTGCTATTGTCAAGTTTTAGTAATAAAAGTGTGTCAAGTTAATTCGGTTAAGTCCAAAAGTATCTCTTTGGTGAATATCGATGATTTTGTGCCTCTTATAATTTTTGGTTAACTTTTCTAAGCATAGGAAATAACTGATTGGCATTTTCTTGTGAATTGATCCAATTATTAACTTTAGTTCTCCATGTTTTAAGAAATGAGGCTAGCTGCTGCTATTTTATGTGATACTTTGAGTTATTTTATTGCCTGGTTGTGAATAAAAGTTGGTTGTACTCCGCTAGTTATCACTGCTGAGTAACCAGGGATCTTCACCAAAAATATCGATTCTCACGTCAAAAAATAGTAATTTCAATGAATACATGGTCGTGTAGCGATAGGAGCTGAGTAGCCGGGTCCTTCATCTGACAAATATTGGAGTTCGCATCAAAAGGCTCTAATGGCTAGCGATTAAGTCCATTATAATTACTATTGAAAATAAAAAAAAAAAAAGAGAAAAGGAAGGAGTGATAAAAAGGTGTGAAGGTTGTGTCAATATGTGATTAATGTCAGCTTGCCGATTTATGGATTTAATGTTGAGATTTTGGTTAATAGTTGGACCATTTGCTGATAAGTGTTGCTCAACAATTTCTTTTTCTTAGATTAGTTAGCCATAAATTGGAGGAGTCTGCAGTTTAGAAGCTAACCGAGGAAATGTTTTTTTGATTTTGACCATTGATGCTTGACAAGTGTTTTCTCAATACCTTGGCAATAGGAGGATGGAGTGATAGCCATTATCAGGAATTGGTGTTTGTTTGTTGTTCTCATACTTGAGAACAAGTATGGTTTAAGTGTGGGGAGAATTGATATGACGCATTTTTGTCATTTATTTTATAATTAATTCCCTCCTATCATCTTATCAAATGTGTATTAATTGGCAGATTCTATTCACTTTTGGAAATTTGTATTGATTGTAGGGACTTGGAACAAAATGTGGTAAAAGGTGCAAATTTCCCAATATAATTGCTATTGGCGTAGGAGCGTCAAGTCAGGTTTTAACGTGTTCAGAAAATGCGGGACAGGCGCGTGACACCAATTGCCAATTGGAAGTACAGCGTGGGGCTGCAAATATTCCATTAGCTAATTGTTAGTTTTGAATGGAAAATGGTAGTTTAGCAAAAAGAGGAAACGAACCAATTAGGAAATTTCCTACTTTTGTGGCTTCGGTTGAATAGGAGATAGAAGTCAATTGAGAGTAGGATTCTTTTTTCCTTTTACTGATTGGGAGTAGCCGTACAGGGGTAGACGATTTGGTAGGGAATTAGATAGGAAAAGTAGCATACTATCTTGACTACTTTTGTTCTTGACTTTTTCGTCTCATTCATGTGGTTCTTTTTCCTTGGTATGTCAAAACCAAGTAGAAACAATTAATCACCTTTTGACTACGTAGTTTTTGACATTATTCTTATTCCATCGAATTGAATCATCTCAATTGAGAGACGATGTACATGGCAATTGCTTCTACAATTTTGCTTGGGTTTTTCTCAACGGAGATGAACTAAGTCTATACTTCTAGTCAAAGAACAATGGAGGATTTGGTTCGACTTAAATTGTGAGATCTAACTGATTTTAGTTTTCTATTATTGTCCGGTATTCATATATTTTCTGCTTTATTTTTTTATGGTTGTTGTATTATTCAATTGTGCCAGGTCCGGATGTTAGATTAATTCAATAACCTAGAGCCAATTAGAATAATTAAATCCGTAATTGTTTGATTATTCTAAATTAGTGGCAACTGGTATAATCGGGGTTATATCAGGGAAATATACGGGCTAATTTGTAAACAACCCTCGTAGCGTGTTGTTGGGTTAGAACAGGGTTTATCTAAATCGTAAAACAATTGTGGAATTTAATTCTACGATCGTACCTAG